GATTCGACTCAGCGATGGATGAGAGATGGAACCTTAAGTGGCCTGGCACGGTTTGTCCAACCTTTCTGGGAGGACGTCTGCTTTCAAAAGAACCTCTCAGTGCCCAGCTGAGGTCACTCAAGCAAAGGGAGGCTCAGAGCCACTGTCTCTCAAACGGGATTGATCAATGGGGCCACAGAGGGTTAAATTAAGTGAGGTTAATAGAAAGGACCTATAACTTAATATTGATTTAACAGACATCCATACAGTGCTTAATGAATACAGCCTCCTTCCAAGAACCTTTCAAATATTAATTCATTTAATTCTCATGGTCATGATCTTAAGAGCGACGGTCTCCGTTCGCTAAGCATCTGCTTCATGGCAGTCACCAGGCAAATCACTGGACACACATTATTATCGGGTGTGCTAGAGCTTAGTGCTTCGCTTCCTTGCTGCTGTTTTGACTACCATTTATTGAGTACCTACTATGTGCAATTCTATGGGCTTTACACTGATCACTTCCATTATGTCACTGAATCCTTACAACAATATGTCAAAGTACAATAATAACAACATAATAGCAGCTGACATGTGTGTGTTCTCTCTGTGCCAAGTGCCTTACCTCATTTAATCCTCACAAGAGCCCTATGAAATAGGTGCCATCAACATCCCCATTTTACAGGTGATGAAACTGAGGCACAGAGGGTTGAGGTGACTTGCCCAAATTCAACCAGGATTCCAGAGCCCATGTCACTGCCACTACCCCATGCCACCTTCTGGCCAGCCACATCTATATTAGCTAAGTAGAGAGTAGTTGTTTGTTCTCATTTGGGGGTAAACCAAGGCCACCAAAATACAAACTTCCTGATTCCAGGTCTCCCTGCTGGTCCCAGAATCTAGACCCCTTGTCCTCCAGTCCCAAACGCCTGGGTCGTTTTCGGGATCAGCTAACCGGTGGCTCTCCGGGCCCAGGGACAGGGCGGCTTACCGAATTCGGACTGCATGCTGGGGTAGATGATCCTGAACACGTAATCCGTGGCTTCGTCATCCTCCTTATCTGAAGACGTGGACTCAGCGGAACCCTGAGGGCTTCGCTTGCGCAGTTTGGGAAATACTTTGCCCTGAAAGAACATGTCCCAATGCACGGTCCCTGGGACACACCTGTCCCCAGCCTGAGCAGCCAGAGCCCGTGAAGCCACCTAAGGGCCCAAGGGCAAGAACGATCACTCCCCATGGCGGATCACCACCCCGCTTCCCGGGCCCCCGCGATCACTCACCTTTCCCCGCTGAGACCAGAGTGGTGGGTCCAGCTGCCCGTGAGGGAGCAGCCCGTTCTCCAGGCAGGAGAGGAACTGCAGGAGGTGCCCTCCCTTGGGGAAGTGGAAGGGCGGCCTCTGGATCCCGTCCTGGCTGACCAACACCACCGTCCCACCGCTGTCCACTGCCACCATGACGCGGCCACAGAAGACCCAGTAGGAAGTCACTACGAGGCATGGTGAGGGGGCCCTCCTGGCCAACACCCNAAACCAAATGCCCTCATCTCACCAAACAATCTGCATGGAGTGGTGGGTGAGAAGCCCATTCTCTGGAGGCAGACCATCTGGGTTCAAATTCCAGCCATGCCAAGGATTAGCTGTGCAACCCTGGGCCAGTTTCTTAACCTTTCTGTGCCTTAGTTTCCTCCTCTGAAAAACAGAGGATGCAGATGACAATGGTACCTGCCTGGGAGGACTGTGGTGAGGATTAAATGAATTAAGACATGGAAAGCATAGTGGTGGGCTTGACACACAGTGACACTCAATACAGGACATCTACTATTGCTGACAGGGCATTTGTCACTTGTCCCATTAGATGTTTTTGATGTGTCATTACACTGGCTCCTCAGAATATGATCCTGGGTGGGGGGTGTTGTTATCCTCACTCTACAGACAAGGAAATGAGGCCTGAAGGATGAACTAGTCATTTGGCCACATGACAGTGGCAGAGTTGATGTTGTGATGTGTGTTTTTCTCTAAACCAGTGGTTCTCAACTTGGGGCACTTTTGCCTCCAGAGGACCCTTGGCAACATCTGGAGACATTTCTGGTTGCCACAACTTGGTGGGGAGGGGGTGGATTTGCTACTTGGCATCTAGTGGGTGGAGACCCAGAACGCTGCTCAACATCCCACAATGAACAGGACAGCCCCTGCCACCAAGAATTGTTCCATCCAAAATGTCAGCAATACCAAGATCGGGAAGCCCATTCTAAATAAACTAAGTCAGTGGGAGTTTTCTGCAAATACAGACAGGGCTCAAGTGCACATAGTTTATTTAGGAGGTATTCCCAAGAGGCACGGGTAGGGAGGGTGAAGTGAGATGGGAAGGGGAAGCTGAGAGTAAAGCGTTCGTTATGGATGTGTGCAACTGGCGTTCAGTCTCCTGGGAGACCTCTGGGAGCAGTGCCGAACACACATTTCAGAGTTTTCTCACTAAAGGGGTGGGGGACCTGGGCATTTACACACCACCTCCTCTCAGTCAGTGGCTGAGGGCTGCTCGGGGAGCATGAATTCCCTGACACTTCTAATCTGCCCCACCCACGGGCAGGAGGACCCTGGTGGCCAGAGAAACCCCTCAGGCATACAGACCCTGAGACTGGCAGTGGGGCGGCGTGCAGAGGGGTGTGGGTGGGCATAGCTGGCGTCTGTTCCACTGGCACATGCAGAAAGCCACAAGAAGCTAACATCAATATTCCCCAAATAAGGGACATCCAGCACCCAGCCTGG